AAAGACATTCTTGACAATAAGAAATGATTCAATAGTAACTTAGAATAGAGTAAAGTGATAATTGAGAAGAATTGTCTATTGTTTGAAAATAGAAAAATCTTGTTCTTCATACTTCGAAACAAATAATCTATCTCAACAACTTATTTATCTTACTTCAAAAATAAATAAAAAAAAATAAATGAAAACAATTAAAAAAAAAATTTTATGCAATGATTTATGGTCCATTTTGATATAACAGTACGGTATCTGTTCCATCTCCGAATATTTATATACGATCAATACTGCACGCGAATGATCCGATCTTTTTTCAATCCATCACTCATAAATGTATACGGTCACCAGAACAAAGGACCCAACATGAGATTATTGATCCATTTTGAACGAACAATATGCATCATTCCTTCTATTTCCATACACATTTTTTCCCTTTCCATACACATTCTTTCCCTTTCCCTTTCCTAAATTTATTTTCGTCTTTGCAGATAATCCGAGAGAAACCATTATAGTAATCAACCTCTACATTTGAAGCTAAAAATAGTAAGACAACATTAGTCAAGCCTCATTCGGATGTAATCAGCACAATTAACAATACATAATAATGAAACACGAATACTGAAAACTTTGTATCTCAATACTTTAGATATATCGTTATAAATTTAAATTCACAAAATGTCATTTATCACTCATCTTCCTCACGTACTCTCCAGGATCCATTAAAGACATCGTGTTATCTCAGTAGTTTTTGAAAACACAAAAAAAAATTAATTGTCAGGGGAACGACTGAAAAATTCCGAGCCTGGAACCGCTATTTTTAACCCTTTGCACTTGAGCGCACCGATACTTGAGCGGCGCCCGGCTGATTTGAAGTATCTACTCAAGCGATGCTGCTATAGTTTTTTGTAACTTGATCTGCTTATTTACGATGTGCGATAAGATATTTCTCTCGGAAATATAATATTTTTATGGCCTAGACTCGGCCTACATTTTTAGCCAAATCTTAGCTCAGTTTACTTAGTTTCAGCATAGCATTCGTTTGAAACAGTCTTGGCAGTGAATATAGCAATTGAAAAGTTTTTGAGCCCTTAAAATATGGATAAAGATTATATCAGCTCAAGTTCGGACGAACTTCAATTTTGCCGGTTTGGATGAAGAAATTACATTGATTCACGACGGATTATGCCACGAAACGAACGAATCCAGTGGAGAAGATAGTGAGGAAGTAAGAGGTGTGAGACGACGAAAAATTAGAATTATTGAGAGCGAAAGTGAAGTCCAAAATGAAACTGCGGAAGGTGCAAGGAGTTTAAAATGAATACTTTGTAGAGAGTACGAAGAAGTGCCGGATCAAGTTACAAAAGACCGTAGCAGCGTCGCTCGAGTTGACATTTCAAATCAGCCGGGCGCCGTATCGGGTTAATTGCGACCAGTGATTCTATAACACTGATGTAGATATTTTGCATACAAATCAACCGTTATCGCAGACCACAGTGTGACCAAAGTGAACTTGAAAATAAAAGACCTTTTTTAAATTCTTAGAGAATTCAATATATAACAACAGGTTGTTATCTTTCTTCAAAGAGAACTCGGCCTGTGAGGACGTGATTAAGAACAGACATAATTGATTGATTTTAATTTTGATGAAGAAGATTTCACTTCAAGGAAAAAAGTTTAATCTAGGATCTTGCTTTTTCAAATTTTTTAAAAAGCTTTTTATTTGTGAATAAAATATAATACAGTATGTAAATGCAGCATATACATTATAGTGTATACAATAGACAATATGGGTTGTCTATTATATACAAAGTATATGGTTGTTTATGGTTCTCAAAAAATGTAAAATAATCTTAATTAGTGTCTTTTTTCGAATATTAATTTTACAAGTTTTGCTGGTTTCAAGCTAACATTTCTATTCCAATTTTTTCGATTGCTACTGGTCAATCTATATTAGATCAATAAATCTTCTTTGCGAAGTAACAATTAGTGCTTTCATTTCCAGCGATGTCAATCTTTGATCTATAAAGTAGAATCAGAATTAAATACATTCTGTTCTATAACTTTTTGAGATGTAATTTCAATAATTTGTAAAAATGTGCAATTATTTGTGTAATTTCTTTCTCCTTGATTGAATGCTAAGAAATTCTATCAATTACCTTCGACGATTTGAAATCCATCTGAATCGAATGTTAACATTTCGGTTCAATATTTTTCATTTCGCTCAACTTTGTAGATAAAAATACGGTCGAACTGCATTTTCGTATGATCTCCTCTACAGATTTTTCTTAAAAAGTGTGTGTGAAAGAGAGAGAAAGAGAATGCATAAAATAACAAATATAAGAATAACAAGTAACCATTTATTTTTATTTAGTTTTACTAAGGCTTAAAATGTAATAGATACAACACATAATCGATGATCATGAGAAAACTATATGATGTGAATTGTGATCTAATAATCGCATATAAATATCCCACCTTTTGTCTCTTTGTCCTGCTTCACATTGTACTCCCTCTCTCCCTTTCTCTTTCTCTCTATCAGTCTCTCCATCTCCCTTTACCACTTCATCATTATCACTATCTTCCTCTTTTTTCCTCTTGCTCCCACTCTTTTCCATTCTTCGACTGAGCAATTAGATTTACATGATGTTGCATACTTTCTTATAGGAATACTTCATTAATTCATTAGGTTTCTTCTTAACGATTTCTCTAATTGGTTGCTAAAAGGTAAAATATATAAACAAGACGTAATTTGTTTTTACAGACGAATTCGATTGTATCGGTCATAACGAACAGGAAATAATCTTGTGGACCGTATAATTTTTAAAAAATGGTCTTGATTGAAACATTATAATATAAATTTACCGCCAATCGTGGTAAGGTCGAATGTAGTAGTGTATAGTTAAAGTGTCAGTACGAACTGAATGCTCGTATTGCTGTTTCCACGAATGATCGTTTACATTGTTACACTTCATTCACTCCAATATTTCAAATCTCATTAAAAGAAAATTAATACATTGCCCAACGACATGTTAGACGTAGAGAAAGGGTTAATTGGTATCAAATATCGAACATGTACAAGAAAATCTATAAAAATGTATTACTGAAGTTTTACTAATTTCTAAAAAAACTAATTTATAAGAATTTAGAAATTAACAGAAAGAATGATCATCAAGGTCTTTATCCTTTAATTATTTACTATGTAAAATTGTATGAATTTTTTATATAAAATAGCATGAGACAGTTTTTTTTACAGTTCCTAGATTGTACGATTAATGATTTATATCTGCTATAGATCTGCCATCACGTACGGAATTTATTACGTATAAAAACATAATATGTTAATTATATATTTATTACATTTATATACATTATACAGTTTAATTCTTCTTCTAAATTTTGGTCTTACAGATTTAGCCGGTTTTAACATAACATTCATTTTTATCAGAATTTTTTCAACTTCAATAACAAAATTTATGTATTCGACCTGAGTGTTCTGATTTGAGAGAGAGAGAGAGGGAGAGAGGGGGAGAGAGAGAGAGAGAGAGAGAGAAATAATGCAAAAATTCATAATTATTTTAACTCAAGACAAATTTCCACGAGTTATTACTCGCACTATTCTTATTGCCAGAGTCCCTGACAAGGAAAACAACTACATATCAATCATTGATAAAGAATTGTAATTATTTTGATATGCTGGTCATATGTACATCTTTTTTCTTGTTATTTTTATTTCATCACTCTCTTTCTCCCTCCCTTTCACTCTCTCCCTCTCTCTCTCTCTTTCTCTCGCTCTCTCAGTTTCACTCTCTCTATCATTCCCACCATCTCACTCAATTGCTTCATCATTACCAGTCTTCCTCTTTCTCTCTCTTTATCCCGCTCTATTCCATTCTTCGATTGGGCAATTAGAGTTATATAACGTTCCGCATATTTTTACTGAAAGACTTCATTAATTCATTAGATTTCTTCTTATCTATTTTTTTAACCGGCCATTAAAAAGTAAGTCAATGTACAATGTCAATGTACATGACGAAATCTTTTTTCTAGATGGATTCAATTATATTGTTCACAATAAATATGAAATAACCTTGTAGAACGTATACTTCTTAAAAAAAGTCTTTATGGAGATATTTTAATATAAATTTACCAACAATAACATCAAATGTAATATTATAAGATTGAGATATCAGCTCGTACTAATACTTTAAAGCTTGCTTCGATTTCCTCTCGAAGAGTAGATTAGAATATATAATCCATGGTAAACACGGTATCTACAATTTATGACATATAATTTATATAATATACATATAAATATAAGAAAATTTATGGCATATAATTTGTATAATATATAAATATAAATATAAGAAATAAATGTAAACTAGTCCATTGCAATATACATAAATTGAGAATTGTTTACCGTTAAACTGTACGGCATTGAACGTGTAATTAAAACATAATTTTTTAAAGGTACGTTGCATTTCTCCTACCGTGACCAGTGATGACGGGCAATTTGCACAGAAGATATTTTCCTAATTTTATATGTAATTATTATATATAGTTTTTCATATGTATTGTTATTATTTCCAAAATTAGTGTTATAACTATGTATATAAGAAATATATTTATGAATGAAAATAGGAAATAATTGCTTTTTTCATAATGAACATTATAATTACTGTTTATTACGCCAAAATTAGAAATTAAAGTAGAAATATACATGCAAATATCAAGCTAACAGAAAAGATGATTTTCATAACATATTCGTTTAATTTATGACATATTCTCAATTCTAATGAAGAATTAATTAACAATCGGTTTATAAAACGATGTTCAGTTATAGCATTTTTTGTGAAAGTAAGAAGAGGCGATAAGGAAGAGATTATTCATTTTTGAATCCCCTCCTATTTTCTTCGCGCCTAATCGAATAAGAATTTTCTTATGTAAGCTCTGATCACGTGAGCATAGTCCGTACTCCGTATTATATAAATATTCCTCGTTGTCATCTTCCGTCCTCACTTTCTATTAAGACACGAGGATAGTAAGAGTTGTACTGTGTAAACGGAGTGTTTGTAAATCACAAAAATTATTACTACAATCATTAGACTACTTCTATTTTAATTAAACTATTTCTATAGCTTTCAATAGCTGCAAATCACTGTAATAAAATTCACCGTAATATTAATTATTATTACAATAATACTTGTTGACTTATTCTACAAAATATAACAATACATTTTAAATAAATTACATTTACTACAATATAATACGATCAAGAGTATCCCGGTTCCGAAAGCATACCCAATAATTGGAAATGCTCATCTGTTTATTGGCGATAACGAAGGTATATTTGCAATTGTTATATTTTATATTTAAACGCTTTACCCAGTTTTCATTTATAATTTTTTTTTTTTAGATATAGCCCAACATTTCATAAATATTGTTTAAAATTATCATTCATTGTGGCATATATGGCTAGGCACGAAATTACTTGTAATCGTACATAATTCAGAATATATCAAGGTAAGACCTATTAATTGTATTTGAATCATCCGTAGAAAATTCATATTTTTTTCTTTACTTTTCTAGAAGGTATTAAATAACTCAAATATTAATGAGAAAAGCGAGGGGTATAAATATATGAAATCGATTATCGGCAATAGATTGTTTTCTGCTTCAGGTGAAGTATACATATTTTACATTGTTTAATATTGTGTAATTATTTATATTACAACTTATATATAGATACATATATATACTCATTCGAATATTAACTTATGCAAAATTAAAGGATAAAATATTTTTTCTTCTGAGTAGATATATACAAATTAATATATTATAAAAAAGTGTAGCGAATTTTCTCTCGCTCTTCCTCTCGTTTTCTTTTTAAAGAGAAAAATAAGTAAAAAATATAAATTAAGTCATGCTTTCCTTACGATTTGCAGCAAAATTGTGGAATCATCATAGAAAAATATTAAATGAAGTCTTTCTTAAAAAATATCTAATGTCCCATATGGATGTATTCGTTAATCATTTTGTCGCTTTAATGGAAAAGTTGGAAACTTTAGTTGGAGAAGAAATAGACATTTGCCATTACGCTTTTCGCTGTACATTGGACATAATATATGGTAATATTTCGAAATTTCTAAACGTTTATAAAATTTATATTCATTTCTATGAATTTATAATATTTTTGTTACATTGCTTATTCAAAGATTGTCTGCATCAAACTCCACTAAATTCGCAGACCGATGAGAATTCCAAACTAGATATATCTATTCATTGGTAATATTACTGAATTTTATACTATATCAAATACTTTATTTTTCATTTATAATTTATGTTTTGTTTCCTTCTTCAGTTTGATGGATATAGCTGCGCGAAGGATATTCAAAACATGGTCACATCCGAATATAATTTTTTGTAATACTGCTATGGGGAGGAAATTTCAAATATGTTCATCCTACCTGAATAACGTTACAAGGAATGTATATTTAAAAGATACATTTCGTTAATCCATCTTATCTGTTTTTAACAATTTAAAATTTAAGTATTATATTGTCTTTATAAATACATATAATTTTTTATTTGGAAAGAGAATCAAAGATAAAAAGTGATCTATGTTAAGAAGCGTAATTAAATAAGATTTGATTAGGTCTTACTTCGATATATCCCAGATTATGTACGATTACAAGTAATTTCGTGCCTAGCCATATACGCCACAATGAATGATAATTTTAACCAATATTTATGAAATGTTGGGATATATCTAAAAAAAATAATTATAAATGAAAACTGGGTAAAGCGTTTAAATATAAAACATAACAATTGCAAATATACCTTCGTTATCGCCAATAAACAGATGAGCATTTCCAATTATTGGACATGCTTTCGGAACCGGGATACTCTTGATCGTATTATATTGTAGTAAATGTAATTTATTTAAAATGTATTGTTATATTTTGTAGAATAAGTCAACTAGTATTATTGTAATAATAATTAATATTACGGTGAATTTTATTACAGTGATTTGCAGCTATTGAAAGCTATAGAAATAGTTTAATTAAAATAGAAGTAGTCTAATGATTGTAGTAATAATTTTTGTGATTTACAAACACTCCGTTTACACAGTACAACTCTTACTATCCTCGTGTCTTAATAGAAAGTAAGGACGGAAGATGACAACGAGGAATATTCATATAATACGCAGTACGGACTATGCTCACGTGATCAGAGCTTACATAAGAAAATTCTTATTCGATTAGGCGAGAAGAAAATAGGAGGGGATTCAAAAATGAATTATCTCTTCCTTATCGCCTCCTCTTACTTTCACAAAAAATGCTATAACTGAACATCGTTTTATAAACCGATTGTTAATTAATTCTTCATTAGAATTGAGAATATGTCATAAATTAAACGAATATGTTATGAAAATCATCTTTTCTGTTAGCTTGATATTTGCATGTATATTTCTACTTTAATTTCTAATTTTGGCGTAATAAACAGTAATTATAATGTTCATTATGAAAAAAGCAATTATTTCCTATTTTCATTCATAAATATATTTCTTATATACATAGTTATAACACTAATTTTGGAAATAATAACAATACATATGAAAAACTATATATAATAATTACATATAGAATTAGGAAAATATCTTCTGTGCAAATTGCCCGTCATCACTAGTCACGGTAGGAGAAATGCAACGTACCTTTAAAAAATTATGTTTTAATTACACGTTCAATGCCGTACAGTTTAACGGTAAACAATTCTCAATTTATGTATATTGCAATGGACTAGTTTACATTTATTTCTTATATTTATATTTATATATTATACAAATTATATGCCATAAATTTTCTTATATTTATATGTATATTATATAAATTATATGTCATAAATTGTAGATACCGTGTTTACCATGGATTATATATTCTAATCTACTCTTCGAGAGGAAATCGAAGCAAGCTTTAAAGTATTAGTACGAGCTGATATCTCAATCTTATAATATTACATTTGATGTTATTGTTGGTAAATTTATATTAAAATATCTCCATAAAGACTTTTTTTAAGAAGTATACGTTCTACAAGGTTATTTCATATTTATTGTGAACAATATAATTGAATCCATCTAGAAAAAAGATTTCGTCATGTACATTGACATTGTACATTGACTTACTTTTTAATGGCCGGTTAAAAAAATAGATAAGAAGAAATCTAATGAATTAATGAAGTCTTTCAGTAAAAATATGCGGAACGTTATATAACTCTAATTGCCCAATCGAAGAATGGAATAGAGCGGGATAAAGAGAGAGAAAGAGGAAGACTGGTAATGATGAAGCAATTGAGTGAGATGGTGGGAATGATAGAGAGAGTGAAACTGAGAGAGCGAGAGAAAGAGAGAGAGAGAGGGAGAGAGTGAAAGGGAGGGAGAAAGAGAGTGATGAAATAAAAATAACAAGAAAAAAGATGTACATATGACCAGCATATCAAAATAATTACAATTCTTTATCAATGATTGTTATGTAGTTGTTTTCCTTGTCAGGGACTCTGGCAATAAGAATAGTGCGAGTAATAACTCGTGGAAATTTGTCTTGAGTTAAAATAATTATGAATTTTTGCATTATTTCTCTCTCTCTCTCTCTCTCTCCCCCTCTCTCCCTCTCTCTCTCTCAAATCAGAACACTCAGGTCGAATACATAAATTTTGTTATTGAGACACATAGGCAATATGATCACTGTATCTTCTTTTTGGATTTAACCACATTTTAGATGCTGTTCTAATTATAATATTCATTTATATTATATTATAATATTCACCAAAATTTATGTCGACAAAATACTTTTAGTATGGAAAAATATAATTACAAATAGTCTTTAAAAATATAATTACAATTAACGAAACGAATCGAAAAAAAACAAATAAATTCACACGGTAATGATTTGATCGGATCATGATTAAATTCAGGAATTTCAGGTTGCCACAACACTCTTCGGGCAGAAGTCGGAGGAAGCCTTAAAAATGACTTATATAATCGACCTTCTGTTTCAACAATTGACTGTCGCAAATGGCTGCTGTAGTCAATCTATCAGAAGCTTAATATGTGACTATTTATTTAATATGCGAGGATTTACCGGCTGGTCCAGTTCAAAGAATGATAGGAAATGATTATCGTTTTATGTTGCATTCTACATACAATTCATTAAAATATATAACGTATGTATACCATCATTAAAATCAGATAAATTGGTCAACATGATTTTTATGTTTTCTAAAATAACTCCACATATGCTATCTCAGTATTTCGATCATCGCAATAAAAAAAGAAATAGAACGCTAAGCATTCGTTATTAGATAATGGTTAAATTTTATGACCAATTAAATCACATAATTCTTTGAACTGAACGGGTCGGTAAATCCTGAATGAAATAGTCGCATATTAAGCTTCTGATAGATTGATTACAGCAGCCATTTGTGTGAAAGCTATGATGCAATAAACAAAATCCACGAAAAGAGAAACTATTCGATATGATCTGTTACAATCGTCGGTGATTGCATATTTAATTATCATGGTATGCTTTTCTTCCTCTTGTTTCATATCTCCCTCATTCTATTTCTCTCTCACACTCATAGCAGTAGATTAAATATTTTTATTTGCCGAAATAGACATTCCTACAAACTGGCCATTACACTGAAAATAATATTTTACATTAAACATTTGGCACAAGTCTAACGCATCGGTCATCATCTAGATTTTTTGTATTGGATATTCGTGTTTATTAAATACTCTTGATCTAATAAATGATTCTATTAGAAGATTTAATGAAAGAATTCAATAAGTGCGTCATCAATCGAAACCAATACCGGATTGAAATATATGAAAATCATGCAAATCGCAGGATTGTTCAGCGTAATCCTTATCGTCACTTTGACACAACTATGAAATATTGTTTACGCTTTCGCAATGTTTTTCCCAGTCTATATTTTTCATAATGGTACAATTGAAGCAAGGACGCGTAAATATACATCTTTGATACTTAATTGAGTACTCTAAACATTGATAATGGAAAATTCGCAAATATTCATATATTTGCTTCGTAATTGCGTTTTTTACTATAAAGTAACCGAAACTTAGGTACTAGTTCACTTTGAATATTCACTAACGATCGTATTTTATCTAACGTAAATTTCGTATCACGTTCATAGAATCGGAATTAGCCGTAAATTTTACTATCAAAATCAATGCAAACGAATCATAGTAACGTCTATTGATTGATGTACACATGCATGAACACGTAGGTGAGAACACGTAGAAGAGTGAAAAAAAATATAGCGGTATATGGAGGAAGAATGAGAAACTTAGAGAAAGAGAGAGAGGGAGAGTGAGAGAGATGTGTGCAAAATAAATTATGCAAAAGATAAATGCTAGGAGAAGCCAACGATGACAAAGATAAATGTCTCTTACAAAATAAGTGGATAAAATTCTGAAAGAGTCAAAAAGATTATCTTATATAAGAAAATATCGGTATATTAAAAGCGTGTTTGAAAAGACCGGTCAATGTCATACGAAATTCCACATTTAATATCTCATATTCTTGTAGGTGAATAAATGATATTTCCAAAATGATACTAACTCGCTACTCTCTTGCCCAAATCAAAGTTGATGGGGCGTTATGTAGAATAATCGACTGTGCAACTTCTATATTCGAACACCGCTTGTAATATTAATGCAAATGTTACTGTAAAAGTCAAATTTTATAAATGGCAAAATGATTAATGAAAAAATATTTTATTATGGTACTATTGAAATATTATGATTTCAACTACATATGTATATAATAAAATAGAGGTTTCAATTAAAAATTTTTTTGGTTCCCTTGACTTATCTTTTCAAGGTCCTTAGTCGTATTATGCATATGTAATTTATTTGAAAAGTATATTACTATTCTATAGAATGATCTAATTAGTATTGTTGTAATAATAGTTAATATTGCAGTGAATTCCATGATGAATCGAATCAATTGAAAACTATAGAAACAATTTAATTAAAATAAAAGTAATCTAAAGATTGTAGTAATAATTTTTGTGATTTACAGACACTGTTTACACCATGCAACTCCTACTATTATTGTGTCTTAACAGAAAGTGAAGATGGAAGAGGAAAACCTGGATTATTAAAATATTACAGTGTAAGGACTTTATTCACTCGACTAGAATTTACGTCAGCAAATTTTTTTTTGTTACTGAAAAGATTTCTAATTATAATTCCTCTGTTATTTCTATGTGATTTTATATTCATATTTTGGGTATATAATGTATAAATCTGAAAACAGGAGAAAGTATAAGCTTTATTCTAAATGTACCGAAATCTGCCATAATAGCCCACTGTGACCTCAAAGTTACAAAACTGTATCATAAAAAATAGTAACAAATTGAAAATTGAAATGCAAACAAATAGGTTGTTATTAATATACCCATATTATAAGAACCCAGAGCTATTATGTACACTATTCTTAGTTTCGTAATTACTGACAAAAGCACAAATAATATCAATTCGATCAAATGGTTTCGCTTATATTTACTGCGGACAGTTTGCACAGCATTTACTTTGTTATTTCAGGTTGATGAGCCTAGCAACGATCATAAATATTATATTGTTTGTCTTGACAACGTTATAGAATTAAGATTTATGCGCTATCTCATGAAAAAAGCTATAATTATTTGGTAAAATCTCAATAAATTAAAATGTGACCTGAAAGTTACACGGGCCCATAGAGAGTTAAATAATTAATTATTTCGTTTCTGTAAGGATGTTCATTATTCCTAGTTTTACAATGGTTTACGCCAACAATAAGAACAGATATATTTCTTGAACGATTTTGATAAATAAGGTTTCATTTTAAAGGAGAAAGTTTAAGATAGAACTCACTTTTCCGAATTTTTGAAAAAGCTTGAAATTTTCTTTGAAAAAAATGATCTTTTTTCGAGAATAGTTTCGAAAATATTCCACAAAATCTTATTTTTTATCGTATATTTATATACTATTTATTATATACTATTTATTATATACTATTTATTATATGTATCAATTATATTTATTATTCTTTATGCAATTTTGAAACAAATGTGTATCAACATCGTATCTAATTCGAATCACTGCGAGACCTCTACGACCATGTAAAAAAGATCTACATATGAGAAACTGAAAAATGTGAAGATACATTTTTAACTAACATTACCTACTCTACTCAAACGAAACCGATTGATATGTTATGACCAATGCAAGCTTATACAATTATTGGATATTGGTGCATGGTGGGGACAGTCATCGCCACTTTCACTTATAATTGATATTTTGTCCATACCTGTCGCTGCAATCACGCACGCTCTTGAGAAGGATGAGGTAGGTTTTTAAGCTTAGTATTTCTTTTTATATTTGTCGAATGGCGTATTCTTACAAAGTCTTTAGTTAAAGTACTAATTGCTTCTTATATGTCATATTATGCATTATTTATATC